CATATATATATGGTTTACAATTTAAATTTATTATTAGCGTAAAGTTTTGAATTATTTTACAACAATTTAATTGTTATTTGTTGTTTGGTTTAGGATTGGTGAGTGTTTAACGTTGTCTGAGAGGGGTGGGGATGAATGGGCCCATCCATGCTTGCTAACAACTGAGCATATATGGGTTGGACTTTGTTTGGGGCTTGTCTCTTCAGACCCAATTGCATGTGGGTGTTGGACCTGCTAATCGATCAATTCAGAATTATCATTCAAAATTTGGGAATTTGAAATATGAAAAATATAAAATAGGTTAAAACCCTCCCTTATAATATTTTTTAAGTTTTAATTTAGTCTCACTTTAATTTTTTGGGTTCAATTTAGTCCCATCCATAAAAAATATTAACAATATTTGTCTTCCGTCTAAATTTCTCAAACGCCATTAAAGAGTCGTGAGAATCACGACTCATGATTCTCAATCACGTCCGTGATTCTCACGGTGTGGATCACATAAAAAAATCTGCTGAGTAAAAATCGTGCGAATCACATCCGTGATTCTCAATCACGTGGATACTCCTAAACGGCATTTGAGAAATTTAGATGGAAGGCAAACATTGTTAGTATTTTTAATAGGCGAGACTAAATTGAACCCAAAAATTAAAGTGAAGATAAATTAAAACTTTAAAATATTATAAGAGACGAAATTAGGGCTCTAGCCTATAAAATAAAATCAAAGAATTTATATACACGTTTGATTAGTTAATTGTGTGAAATTAATTAACGGTGATGTAGTAAACACATATTTTCAACTGAATTATATGTAATTTATCACGTATGCTAATTTCAATAGTAGAAGTTTATTTTGTACATTATCCATAAGTGTCTTTTATTAGTTATAGAAAAAGAAAACAAAACTTCTTACCAATGATGATCGATTTGATGTCTCTACTTTAGTGCGGGGTCTATTATGATGGGTTTTGATGAAAATATGGATGTAGAAATAGAAACCAACCAATTTTATTATTGAGTAAGTAAAATATACACTAATTGTGTAAATAAATTTTATATTATCGTTTAATCACAAATTATTATTTATTTATAAAAATAAATGATAAATTTGTTTATTTTTTTATATTAATTAATTTAAAAATTGATGCCAATATTAATTTGTAATTAATTGGTGGTGTAAATTTTTATGATGGATAATTATTTTTTAATATTGAGATATGTTGCCTTCAATTACTGTACTTGTATATACCTTTTCTGATGTGTTAATTTTTAGTCTTTTAACATTTATAAGTATATTTGTATTATGTTCATTTCTCTGTTGAGCGTTAAAACAGTGTTAGATCACATTTATATTCAACGTGCATTAGAATGTGAAAAATAAGGAAAAGAAATATATTCTGTAGATGATTAGATGTATTTGAATTTCAATTTGGAGAGGGCAAATATACGTTTATTCCAAAGCTTTTTCTTAGATACTTTTCTATTCAATTATTTTGGAATTTGTATTTCCAATAAAACAACCACACTATTAATGTGTTTATATATGATTTTATAATCCAATTCATATATAATTTTACGCCAAATTACTATAAATTTTTTTTCATATAATAACATATATAATATGTGTTATTAAAAATACTTTTTTCTACATATTAAATATAATAAATGTTGATATATTGTTAAAAAATGTTGATATTGACTATAATAACACATAAAATATGTTATTAAACCACTTTCAAAATCAACACCTAAATTATATATAGTTATATGTCAAATAGATATATACTTACATATATTATATTTATAATGACATTTTTTGTATGTCACTGTCACATGCGGATCTTTGTTATGACAGAGGAAGTCATAGTTCTCCCAAACTTTTAAATTTCTTTTTTATATATACTCTCACATATATATATATATATATATATATATATATTATATTTAT